GAGGAAAAATACCACAAAGTCCAAGTAGTGACAGAGAAAGAAGCCTACAGGGGCTACATCTCTGGAGATATAGCACCAATTTCCAGGCTCGTCTCACTCATATTTGGTGTTGGATTCAGGAAACGTGGGCAAGTCCACGGAGGAAATGTACTTGCTGGGGATGTAGATTGGGGCTGCATAATAGTCTGCCACAAGCAAAGCAAGGGTGAATAGGGGCTGCTGCTTGGGACTTCATTGTTCCTACTGATCAAAACTTCTATTTCTAATCATTGCTTTACACTTAATCATTGTTTTACACTTACCTTCCTGTCAAGGTGATTTAGCTGATTATGCTAATCTGGCCGTAATGTCTGCCAGCTATTTTCAGCAGATATCCTCATACAAACACTTTTGTCCTGGTGAGAGCCTCCCTGGCTTACTTTACATTTAGCTTAACCAGCAGCAACTTTGGGTGCCAAGCAAAAACCCAAGAACAAAGAGGGCTGGATGATATAGGACAAGGTTTTTTTTTTCTTTGAATAAAGAAGTAATCATAAATTTCAGCCAGTTTTTTAAAACTTTTAATAATTTGGCTTTGGTTTCTTTCAGTAGACTGCTGGCATGTGCTCCTGACTTAGCAAGTAGGAAAACAAGAATGCTTCCTTGTGGGGATCCCACAGGAACCTGTCAGGCAACTGCTGTTAGGTTTTAGCTCAGCATAATTTTTCTTAAACCAAAATTGTTGTCTTTGGTTGAAGTTAATTGGCATCCAGGTAGATAAATTTAAACAACTCAATTTAAAAGCTGATTTTATTTTTCGGGGGTACACTTTGTGACTGGTTAATCCTAATAGCAGATGCAGAACTTACTTAAAAGTTAATGTTCTGCTTTCATAGTGTTATGACTCCTTTATAATAGAGGCAACAGTCAGTAATTTCCACCTTAAAATCATTTAGGTTGTTTTAGTGCCACATGCTGAGACTTTAGTTAATATTTCAAGCATTGAACTGATCTTAGGCTGTTTTTGAAAAAGGCCTTAATCCACATAATGCTTATATTCCACCTCTGTGTAAAGATGGTATAGCTTTAGATAAGACAAAACTACCAGTCAAATCTGTTGGTTAAAAAAGTAAAGGGGGCGGGGAGGGGAAAAACAGCTTTCTTATCTATTTTTTTCTAGACAATGACTTTTTCAACAAATTTGTGATTTCATGCTTCAGATACTATACAGAGATCTGAGTTTTATATTGTCGGCTATGGGTTTGTTTAAGCAGATTACCTAAGAGATAAATACACACTGGTTCCGGTACATTCCCCTTTCAACAATTCAGCAGCATTGATATGACCACCTACCTGACATTATATCAGGTCTTGGAATAAAGATGACTTACAGGTGGTTCTCTTAATTTCACATCTAGATGCAAATGGAACTTCTATACCATTTTGAGGTCATTCTACTCTGTAAGGTCAGGGTAAGATTGATCTCAGCCCCTGTCTACATCTTGTGGAAAGCCCAATTACTTTTATCATGTTATTACAAATTCCCAAGGAACTGTGTTTTTACAATCACCTCTGGACTGATTTTATATCTTATTTTTGGATTTTTATTGTTCAGTCTCTACCCTTTGAAATTTCCTTCATTTCTTAATTTAGCCCCTTGCAAATTTCTTAATTTAGCCCCGTGGTCTGTGGGTAACCAGGGAGAGGTTAATACGCATATGAGATAGCAAACAAATTAAATTAGAATTTTTTGGTTTCCTGTTGAATCCACTGAGGAATCGTGCCACTTTGTAGTGAACCTGCAACTCTTTTCATGAAGCAGCATCTCTTGCTGTCTTCTTACTCCTTCCTGCTTATATTCTACCCTGTCAGCTCCTTGCAAAATATATCAGGAATTTGAATCTTCTAAGCTACAACCATCTCCCTCTTAACTTTTTGCCATTTGTGATAGCTTTGTAATTGATCTCTAAGATATTCAAAATACAACACTCAGAATATAATTCTTTTAAAGTACAGCACATCATTTCTGACAATTCTTCAGCTTTTCTTTTTAATCTCATTTGGTAAAATTCCAGGTCTTCTCAAGGCCTTTAAATGCTATAAGAGAATTACTCTGATTTCATGCCTGCTGTTTTCACGCTAGTGAATTGATTTTCATTTTTCCTTAAACATGTAGAGCACACTCCTTCCTCAAAGTCTTTGTACTTGTCAGCTCTTCCAGGAAGATCTTTACCCTCTTCCTGTTTCATACAGGTCTCTATTCTAATGTCTTTTTTCCCCAGTTAGGACATTTCCTCATCTCCTTTCTTATCTTACTTTTCATTAACGTATTTATCATTATGTGATGGAGATATAAAACACAGCATGTGACATGTTCAACAATTGACTACATATATAAAAATATATGACAGTGGGCCAAATAAGCTATACCATATACACAAGGTGTATAGTAGGCTATAGCATCTAGGTTTGTGTTAATTACATGCTGTGATGTTCACACATTAATGGAATCACATAAAGATGCATTTCTTAGAACATATATTCCTGTAGTTAAGCAACACGTCACTGCAGAATACTTGTTGTTTTGTTTTGTTTTGTTTTGTTGTTTTTTGTCCTCTTCTCTCTAGGTCAGTGATTTGCAAACTGTGGCATGCATCAGAATCAACTGGAGTTCTTGACAAAGCTATATTGTCAAGTCACACCCAGGCGTTTCTCATTCAATGATAGGGCTGAGGGTAGAGAACATGCATTTCTAAGTTCCCAGTGACACTGATGTGCTAGTCCATGAAACACTGACAACCATACACTAGTACTACTCTCTCTAGTACAGTACATGATTCAATACTCAGTTCATTCACCATATGTGGCTCTTTAATTGAATTGATATGAAATGAAAGATTTAGTTTGTTAGTCTACTAGCTCCATACATTTCAAAGTGCTCACCACTTTTATGTGGGAAGTGGTCACTCTATTGGACAACACAAATAAAGAAAATTTGCATTTTTAGAAATTTCTGTTGAACAGCACTGTGTTAGAACATTCACTACACAAAGATGAATTTCTTCTCCCTTTTTTCCCCCTCTCCTCCACCCCATTTTTTGTACCCTCATATTTGCTCTCTGTTCCACTTGATTCTTACTTTAGTATAAGGAATAGAATAAGGTAGAAACATAATTTTTATTTTTCAACAGGATGGCCTGGTTATCCGAATGTCAGTGGTCGAAAATTCAGTTATTCCCTCCCCCTCAAATTTCAAATACCATTTAATCCTGTGCAGTATTAAATTCCAGTCTGTATTTCTGTCAGTTATACAACTTTCTGGTCTGTTACATTTATTTATTTCTGGGAATAGGAATATTTCAAGACAAGCTTGGCTTCTGAAATTATTGAATAAGAATGGAACCTGTAAAGAGAATGAGAAAATCATAAAGAAGTTTCATAATTTGAGTTGCCTTTCAAAGAGGCACTTTTATTAGAAAACATTTAGGCAGTATTAAGTTCATAGGTCCTAATATAATTAGCTCTACACAGCTTGCCATGAAACTTGTACAGTGTGCAGACATTTTATTTGACAAGTTAACTACAGGAAGAGGCCCTTACTGAAACCGTGGCCCATTATCCATCCCATTTATTAGAAAAATAATGTATTACAGATAGAAGTACAAGCATTCAATAAGGCATACTGAAAGAGTTACATAATTGTATGTTAAAAGTGGTAAATTTTCCTTACCTTTTAAAAGTACAAATGTCTTTTTCTTAAATATTTATATGCTTGTACAGAGAAAGATGAAAAAAGGCACAAAAGTAGAATTAACAAAATAAGACTACACCAGTAACCATTTTTTTCTTATAAACTTTTATTATAAATTTATAGTAAAGATTCTAAAGAACTGTATATTTAAGAAGTAAAAGATAATTGATATGTAAGCTTTACTAGTTTTTACATTTATTACTTGGCACATTTATGTATATAGAGAAAGAAAGAAAACTAACAGATTGCCATGTACTCAGAGGCAACAATGGATAATTTTTTTTTTTTTTAGCAGCAGAAGTTCTCTTGTCTTCCATTTTAATGATATTTACATTTACTGCATTTTCTTGGACATTACCTAATCCTTTTTATTACCAGAGAAAGATAATTTGATTTCCAAATCTAGAACTAATAAGTAATATCAAATTGCTCTCAGTAGTATTTATTACAAAAAAAAAAAAATGGCAATACCATTATGTTTATCTCCCTCTGGGTGAGATTTAATATGTACTCTCCAAAGACAAAATTTGGGCAACTACAGACAAGTTTATGGATGATAATACTAGGTAGTTCAAGAGAAGGACATAACGCTTCTAAATACTGCTGTGCAAATATCTAATAAAGACATAGGAAGATACTTTGAGGACTGAAACAAACCATTTTTCACTTAAGAGTCTTTTATTTTTGTTGGTATACCTATTAGGGTTATTTTTATGTGGAGGAGAAGGAAGTGAAGGTAGCATTATGAAATATGCCTCTTCATCCCTAAGGTATTGAACTAGCCTAAGAATAATCAACAACCACAGAAGGTAAAAGGGAGTGAAGGGCTGATCACAGGGATAGTCTGAGAAATCTATATGAAGTGTGGTTTGCCTTGAAGGTTGCACAATGCCAGGTAATTAATCCTTCCCCAGATCTATTTTTAATATTTTGAGAAATTCCATTCTGTTAAGTGTGCTTTTAAAAAAATATTCATGATTATTATGATTCATGCAGCATGATCTTTTGGTTATGCTCTGAATTAAAAAATTATATTTCACTTAAGATTAATATAAGTGGTGGAAAAATTATCATTTGGTTACTTTTAGCTCAATCTTCATACGCTTTTTCTTGAAGATACATTTGCAGTATTTGCTCTCACAAATACTGTTTTGTGGCCTTAGGTTATCTATTGAAGACAACACCCTAAATAATGTTTAACAATAACTTTTTAACAGTTTGTGAAAATGTTTTATAGGTCTGTATGATCAGCATTACTCTTGTTTTCCAGTAAACCTATGATGGACTTGTTGATATTCCTTTGTGCACAATATCATTTAAATCCATCAAGCCACACAATTGATCTACTGTCAGCTGAGAAGAATCCCATCAAATTTAAGCCAAACACACCAATAGGAATGTTAGAGGTGGAAAAAGTAATTTTAAAGCCAAAAATTTTGGATAAGAAAAAGCCAACGCCTATAATACCAGAGGTAAGACTTTTACTATAGATTTTATTCATTATCTACAGACCATTTTAAATGAAATAAAATTAGCTTCCCAGGTTACAATTGATATAAACATAGCTATCATGTGTTCCTAAGTCATTTTGCTTAGTGTTCAGTTTTGATTGTTCTTTTAGTTAATTATAATTGAGGAAACATCTTAGGTTTTGGGTATTAAGTTTGAGGATCTGCACACTGTGTATGTCACGTAAAATGGTCATGTTCCTTTCTAACTTCCTTTACATACAGGATTTACTTTAATTACAGTAAAATTATGAGGTGATTAAAGTCACAACAATTTTGAGTAGTAGTAGTATCCAATAAGGAATACATTAATATTCTTGACTAATAAGTCAAAATAGCCAGTTATAGTACTAACTACAATGGTAATAATAGGTAATCAAAATAGCTAATGCTAATTTATTTATAGTTTACCATATTTGATCAATTGCTCTTTATATTGATTGGCTTGTCATGTTCTAATAGAGAACCATAAAATACCACCTCTTTTTTTTTTTTTTGAGAGAGCTGTCCTAATACTAAACAGATAAATATACCTCAACCAAAGAATAGAATCAAACATGTAATACTGTGTTTTTAACCTAAAGAGTTAATGGAACAAAACTAAGACATACATAATATTATATATGAATTTTTCCCTATTGCATTTAAAGCCAGTTAAGTATTTAAACTCTTTACTTTGTAAAGAATTATTTTTTTCATTCACATTATTTTTTTTTTTATTTTTTTTTTAAAGATTTATTTATTTGTACATACAGAACCGGGGTACAGGCTAGAGGCTCAGGGGCGGTGAGAGGCTTCACCAGAGACAGAGTGGGGAGCAGAACAGGCAGATCGACGAAGCACACTGCTGAGGGGAGCAGCGGGTGGGTCAGGAGAGGTCTGCCACACCATGTGGTCACCTCCGGGGCAGGCGGGAATCGAACTCATGCGGAAGTGGCTTTAGCTTCTCAGTGCAGTGCTTTAACCCGCTGCGCCACCAGGGAGGGCCACATTCACATTATTTAAGAAGCAAATTGTTTTGTAGAATCTGCTTTGGATTTAGAAAACAGAATTAATGAAAAGTATATTCAAAATAGAAAAATACTGTTTATTGTATGACATAGGTATAGATTATTGTAATTTAGACACCATTGTATAATGTTTGTTGCAGTAGATTATGGTACAACCATGGCTTAATTTTTGTGTTGCAGAAGACTGTGCGAGTAGTAATCAATTTTAAGAAAACACAAAAGGCAATAGTGAGAGTTAGCCCACATGCATCACTTCAAGAACTTGCCCCCACTATATGTAGCAAATGTGAGTTTGATCCACTACATACCTTGTTGCTGAAGGATTATCAATCTCAAGAGCCCCTCGATTTGACAAAATCTCTTAATGACCTGGGACTAAGAGAACTATATGCCATGGATGTCAGCAGAGGTAAGACCTTTCACTTTATTCATTTGATCATATATATATATATATTTGTTTGTATGTATGTATAGTATGTTTATAAGGATCCTCAAATTCATACTGCAAGTTAATAATAGATCCTATTAATAGATGTAAATACATGTTTTGGTGATATGGAAACTAAATGTAATAAATTTTAGATTGGAGGGAATTTTTTAAATTAGAATGAAAACCTCCCCTTCTTAGTTATCATCCACAGTTTATACTTTTACATCTACCTATAAATATCTCTTGAGGCTTTAATTTAATTTTTTGAGATTTAAAAGAAAATCAAAATTTACACACCAATTCATTGTTCTAATCAAGTATGACTTGTCATGGTTTTGTCTGAGTTTTAGTTATCATTTGAGTTTCATGCCATATTTTTCTAAGTTTAATGCCCAGATCAAATGGTTTATAAAATTCCAAAATATTTTAAAAATAATTCCAAAAAAATCTAAATAGAAATAACTCACAGTCTTAATCTATAGAAATAATTTAATGCTTAAAATTTGGAGATCTTAGCTTTTATATGATGTGTAATAGGTAAATGTGAGCTTATTTATTTAATGACTATTTGTTTTTCTAGGAACAACAAAAGTTTAGTAAGGAGACAATTATTTAAATACTTTTGCATAGAGAACTTCACATTTATTTCTGAGATTGTAGCTATTTGTACTCGACAGACTACTTTTTCAGTTCAGTGCTGTTTTATACTTGAGCAAACATCATCTTTACAGTCAATTTACCCTCTTTTACCCCTCCTTCTGTAGCTACTTCTGTTACTGAATTCCATAAGTCAGCTTTACAAGGTAAGATATTTAATCAGTAAAAGCAACTTTTAACATGAAATATAATTGAAATTATAATATGAAATATTAGAATATAACATTATAAAAATTATAACATAAAACATTATAAAATTATAATATGAAATATAATATGAAAGCTATTGCTGTTGGATAAAATGAAAATAGACTTCTAGGTTTGCCCATTTCTTAACATTATTAATATTTACATTATATGAGAGAGTTTATCTTAAAGAATCGATTTCTATTTCTGAAATAAAAGTGTAAGACCTCTTAATTTCTGAGTTTGATATAATAATTATATTTCAAAAGCTAAAAACTATGTGATTCTAAGAATGTTGTGAAAATACATTCCTGACTCTCAGCAAGAAAATGATTTTGCTAAGAGTTTTAATGGTTTTAGTTCTGATAGTTTGGTGGTATCTTGACAGAAACTTAGCTATTTCTATTGAACAGTTATTCAGAATAATCTAATTATATTTATCATAGGAAAGTTTGTAGTCATTAAATTATTTGTGATTCTTATAATAACTAGCTAAAACTCTTAGCTAAAATGAGCTTTGAAAGCATTTAAGTATGTTTAATATAACATGTTAAAACTGTAATATTCTATGCATAAAAGGTTTTAATAGTGGTTACTTTTGGGTGATAGGGCTATAATTAACTTTAATCCTCCTAGTATTTTATAATGGGAGTATATTATTTTTATAAAGAAAAATTTTATTAAGAATTGGTCAGTAATGCCTGAGATATTTTTCCCTTATTAAAAATGATAGGGTCAAAAAAATGTACAAAATGATGTTAACATAAACTATTATAATAAAAAAATGATAGGGTCAGATAATTGATTACTGTAATAATTACCAGCCTACTAAGAAACACTTGATAAACTGTACACACTGCATGTTATTGGAATCTTTCTTTGCCACTTCTG